GGCTTTGGTGAAGGTTCTTTAAAAACACAATTTTAAAGGTTCCATATTAAGCTTTTCTTCATGTTTTCACTGTCCATCCTATGCACATGTGTGATAATAATTTGAGTGATACACCATACAACACTCAAAACTTGTGAGATAGCCATCTCTTGCAAAGAGGTGACGTCAGGTCAACTCAAATGAGCTGATCCAGAGGAGTCTGCTCCCCTGTCTGTGAGCCCGCCTCCCCACGCCTGCACGGCGACATAGCCTCACGCTGCGAGTTGTTTGTCTCCGGTACATAGTTATTTCAGACCTGTGAATAAACTTTTTCCAACAATGACAATCTGTCACATCGAACCCTATGTCGGTGATCCACAATCAGACCCTAATTATTTAGTTCACAGAAATATGGTACTGTAATGATGTTTAAAGCAGAGAAAAGTCAAAAAGCGTATAGGACCTTTAACAAAGGACAATGAGGCGGTGGCAGCAGCTGTGATGAACGAAGACTTTTATCACTGGAGGAAAGGCTTTGGAGATTATGTAAAACTAATGCAGCAATGACACGGTCCAGTGTGGGTCAGTCTGTCTGCACCAGCGCCTGATAAAGATCTCGGGACGTAAATACAGCACGTCTAATGGTTTTAAATTTATAGAAATGGGCTCATTAAAGCTGGGGGATCTAACTTTCAATCCACAGACATAAACAATATGCAATAAGATGCATGTTACTAGTTCCTGGCTCTAAAAGTTTGCTTTTATGTTACATTTTTTGGCAAGAGAGAGAGAGACCAAAGAGGGAGAGAGACCAGATAGAGAGATAAAAAGATTAGATGGGAATGAGGTTGCTTTATTTCTAAACTACCGCTACACTACTGTACCTAAAAAAAAGAGAGAGACCAAAGACAGTGCATAAAAAGAGACGACAAAGAGAACGGAGAGAGCATCAAAAGAGAGACCACAAAGAGAGCCGAGGGAGAGACCATAAAAAGAGCAAAGAGACCAGAGAGAGAGACAGAGAGAGGCCAGACAGAGGCCAGAGAGGGAGAAACCAGGTAACTAGTTAATTTTGATTCATTTGTGTAAAGCACTTTACTTACTTTCCACTGTTGTTGATTTACTGACAGCAGATTAGAGAATCAAACCGTTGGTCCACATAGGGAGCAGGATGACCACTGTCCAGAAATGTTAAATGTCCCCATATCATCACTCAGTCCCAGAATGAGGATGCTCTATTTCAGCCATTCCCAAACTCAGTAACACCGAGGCCCCCTTAAAAATCTGACGGGTCTGCGTGGCCCCCCAAAATAATAACCAAGAAGACAACATTAAGAATAGGCTCTTCTGGTTATTTTATTTTGGGGAAATAGCCTCTGCTACAAACATTGTAATACAAAAATGATTACAGTGGATTATTCAAGTCAAATAATGAACACAAATATTTTAAAATTACAAACAAAACATTATAAATTTAACATTAAATAATTATATTATTTTTTTTATGACCTCCCGCGGCCCCCCTGCAGTACCCTCGCGGCCCACCAGGGGGCCGCGGACCCCACTTTGGGAGACACTGCTCTATTTCTAAAAACTACTGCAGCCACAACAAATATTGATATAAACTGTATGAATTGCTCTAACAATAGAAATCAAAGGCGTCTCTTCCCTGTATGGCTCTTACATTGGGGGTGGAAGATTGTCACATGTGTCCGCTGCAGTCTATAAGTCCTTTGTGCTGCCGTCTGCAGACATCACAGTTTACTATTGTGTTTGGATTAAGATATGTGGCTGTCTCCTGGAGCCTCAGGCAGCTGTCACAAGCACAGGACGGGACCATAAAGGCGGGTACTGAGTCCTTCATGGTGCACATATAACAAAACAGGTTTGTGAAAAGGAAGAACAATTGTTTAATTTTCACACATTATTTTAAGACTCTCGTTGTTTATGTATTTTGAAATATAATGATGAGATAGAAAACTCTGTAGCCAGAGAGACAAGATGAGAGAAGAGAGTGAGACCAGAGAAAGAGAACCACATCAGAGAAAGAGAGGCCAGAGAGAGAGAGAGAGAGAGAGAGAGAGAGAGACTAGATTGTTTAATCCCAAAATGGTGAGTGTGACACAAACCGTTACTGAGCTAGAAGAGATTACTTTTACATGTAAGTCAATAGGAGCCAGAGCGAGTTGGAGCCAAACTTCGTCGATGAGCACTTCCTTATTGGGCTTCATTGAGCTTGTGGGTTTGCTCTCTCACTGGGAGGAACAATCGTTTGCACAAATTGTGACTTGCTGTCTTAAATGTGTTGAAACTGGTTGCAAATGTCGACAAGAAAGTATTCCCACTATCGGATGATGGAACTGGAGCAAGTGACTGGAACTGAGACTGGAACTGAGACTGGAACCGAGACTGGAACCGAGACTGGAACCGAGACTGAAACCGAGACTGGAGCCGAGACTGGAGCCGAGACTGGAGCCGAGACTGGAGCCGAGACTGGAGCCGAGACTGGAGCCGAGACTGGAGCCGAGACTGGAGCCGAGACTGGAGCCGAGACTGGAGCCGAGACTGGAGCCGAGACTGGAGCCGAGACTGGAGCCGAGACTGGAGCCGAGACTGGAGCCGAGACTGGAGCCGAGACTGGAGCCGAGACTGGAGCCGAGACTGGAGCCGAGACTGGAGCCGAGACTGGAGCCGAGACTGGAGCCGAGACTGGAGCCGAGACTGGAGCCGAGACTGGAGCCGAGACTGGAGCCGAGACTGGAGCCGAGACTGGAGCCGAGACTGGAGCCGAGACTGCATTTTTAGCCCTAGTTCTCAATATCTTTGCATTTGTTACTGTTAAATATATTTCTTGTTGGGTTACAAAATGAGGCTGTAACTCAGGTTTACTGCAGGATGAATGTGGTAATAACTTGAATAAATATATTGAATTGCTGCCATCTTTGTGATATTGCACAATAGTGAGATTATTAAAGCCACAAAGGATATTTATGATGGTTTTATTTGTGGCGGCTGGAGATCAAAGCCGAGCGCGGAGAGGAAACCGGATTAGAATAGGAGGTGGCATGATTGACAGCTCTGAAGAGGGGGCGGGATTACAATGAGTCCCAAAGGAGCTCGGTATGGAGCCGATGGTTATGAGACTGTATGTCAAGAGGATTTCAAGGTATGTCTATAATAAAGATGTATACAAAGGAACCAGCAGGAAGGAGGAGAAAACAACCCACTTCCTCTTTCTATCTCAGCTTTCTAATAAAGCGGGGCAAAAAATAAAAAATATATATATACAGTATATTTCATGTATTGTGTTGTTTGAATTATTAGTATTTTTATTGTATTGTTTGAAATATTTATAATTTTTTATTGTATGCCTTTTCATTTGTATAGATTTTTTTTATATTTTGCATTCATATTTGTAGTGTTTTTATTAATATGTGATTTTTTTTTGTTTTATTTTTCATATTTCAAGAAATTATTGTTTTCACCTTCATTAGCAGCTAGTGAGAATAACATCCAGTTTAACCATGTTTCTATGGCATCCTTTGTTAATTTTGCATATGACAAACATCTTTTGTGGTGGAAAAAAAGGTTAATGCAAAATCCAAATCTGCCCCTTTCCCCTTTATTGACGTATAAGCAATACATACAGTTATCTGCAGTTCACCCAGAGTGATCATGGGCCTCTTGGCTACATCTCTGATCAGTCTTCTCCTTGTTTGAGATGAAAGTTTGGAGGGACGGCCGGGTCTTGGTAGATTTGCAGTGGTCTGATACTCCTTCCATTTCAATATAATTGCTTGCACAGTGCTCCTTGAGATGTTTAAAGCTTGGGAAATCTTTTTGTATCCAAATAAGGCTTTAAACTTCTCCACAACAGTATCTCGGACCTGCCTGGTGTGTTCCTTTGTCTTCATGGTTCTCTCTGCGCTTTAAACAGAACCCTGAGACTATCAAAGAGCAGGTCCATTTATACGGAGACTTGATTACACACAGGTGCATTCTATTTATCATCATCAGTCATTTAGGACAACATTGGATCATTCAAAGATCCTCACTGAACTTCTGGAGTGAGTTTGCTGCACTGAAAGTAAAGGGGCCGAATAATATTGCACGCCCCAATATTCAGTTTTTTATTTGTTAAATAAGTTTAAATTATCCAAAAAAATTCGTTCCACTTCACGATTGTGTCCCACTTGTTGTTGATTCATTACAAATAAATTTAAATTTTATATCTTTATGTTTGAAGCCTGAAATGTGGCGAAATGTTGAAAGGTCAAATACTTTCGCAAGGCACTGTATATCAATGAAAATAGAATATATATTAGAAGTTTACTACTCTCTGATCATATAATACAATATTCGACTCTGAGCTGAGAGGCTGAGTGAGGGTAGTTTTCTTTTTCACTTTTCCGTCCAAAAAAGCTGATCTAAAGTTTTGACAGAAATTGTGACAAAAAGGACAAAGAGACCACAGAGGAGTGAGAGCCCAGGGAGGTGACACAGAGAGGTGAGACAGCCCACAGAGGAGAGACAAGATAGAGACCTGAGAGGAGAGAGCCCAGAGAGAGGCGAGACAAGAGAGAGACAGAGAGGAGAGAGAGAGATGACATTGCTTCCACTTATTTACACTCAAAGCTGGCATCTTCCAGCACCAGGAGATTTTGAACTATGAATGCAAAAAATCGTCACATTATTTGACATGTGATTTTGACAGCTGCAGCTCAAGTCTCAAACATCCTTCATCTCCGTCCTCTTATCCAGACGTGTCATCGAGCTTTCAAAACATGTGTGAATCGGATCTATTCTATATCTCCATATTAGAAATTCACTTTGAACCAAATAGACTGCCATATAGGCTATAAATAAAAGCATATATTTATCAATGCATGCAAATACCGTAAAATCTGCACTGGCTTTTTCTTTTCACATTCTCAAAAGATTCATATTTGCACACATGTACTACACTTTGGTGTCGTCTTACTATTTCTACAGTTCTCATTCATAATTCTATTTTTCCATAGAATTCCCTTGATTACGACGTTCCACCAGGACCACCCAGACCCAACTATCTGGAGACCAATAACTCGATACCAAACCACTTTCCAGGTGAGTGTTACCTGCTGAGACAGAGACTAAAGTGGAGACTGGAGCAGGGACCTGATTGTCTCGTTGTGATCCATAACCCCAGAGATAGATAGATACTTTATTGATACCCATAGGAGATATTCAGGTGTCCAGTAGCAGCAAAAATAAAAAAAACAAAATTGATCATTTTAAAAAGCTTAACAGTAAAAATCAGAAACAGCCCTTTAGGTCACAGCAGCAGAGATGGAGCAGCCTCTGGGTAGGACCAGGAC